GTGCCAAAAACACGCTTTTAATAAATAATAAATGTTTTTAATAAATAAGTATTTTAATAAAACCTGTTATTATATCATAATTTAAACGAAAATTGAAATAAATAAAAAAGAATTAAAAAAATTTTAATATTTTTTTTCTGAAAAAAATATAAAAAAAACTATATCAGGTCATTTATGGTATCTTTAAAATTTATAGAGTTTGTATAAACTTCAAATGTCATCTATGATATTTCACTTCTATAACTATATTTTACTTTTTTGAAAATTTTTAAGGCTTTTGAGCTTATGATACCATTTTTGAGATGGTTTACTTCATCACATGATATAGATTCATAGATGGTTAACATCATCACATGAATCAATTCATGTTAAAGATTTAGTACTTAAATCCATGTTCTTTTAAAGGGACTACCAAGTCCAGAGACATTTTGTGTTCATATTAAGAGAATGATAAAAATAAAACGTCTGAGCAAATTTTTTTTTATTAAAACTAATTAACAATTGTATACCAAGAAAAACAAATCTCGTTGTTTTAGTTGAAGCTTGTCTTCTCCATTTTCTGCAGTATTTGGAGTCTGTAAAATAAAAGCGATTTTCCAGGCGCATTATACAGACTTGATAATTTATTTAAGTGCGTTTAATTCATAGAAGTTTTAATACATGACGTCATAGATTTTTTTGTTTGTTTGTTTAAAACACCGATTATTATTTTTTACATGCAATTTCCAAATTATATTCATTTTTATTATATTTTAAAATTCTAAAATGTGTTTGTAAAAAAATTGAAAACAAAATAGTATTTTATTTGTGCAAATTTTTTTAAATAATCGTCTAGACCACATATATTTTGATTTCTTTTTTTATAAGTTTTTCTTTCAAAGTATTAGATAAAATAATTTTTAACCTAAATAATAATGCACTTTTATTAATTTACTTTGTAAATATTAAAAAAAAATTATTAACTTATTTTTTCTCTGATTTTCAAAAATGTATTTTTTGGTATTGAGGTGATCTTATTTCATTATTTATATTTCCATTATTATAACATCCAATATATATTATGGGAGGGGCTTAGAAATTAAAAAATTAATACATATTAATTTTTATTTTTCGGACATACATGGAGACATAATTAACTTGAATATTCTTAAAACATCTTGCGGAAAAATAAAAAGAATATTCGCGAACACTAAAAACCTGCCAAATTTACAAACAAACTAATTCTATTGGTTCAAAAAATACGCTGAGTAAGCGAAATAAAGTTCTAGAGTATTCTGTTGAAATGTTTTAGGAATTGTATTATTTACAATTTGTTGCATTTTGAGATATCTAGCATCAATTCTTTTAAGAATATATTATAAAATGAACTATTACTTTAATATTAGGGCTCATTCTCAGAGTCACATCTGCAAAGCCATATTTCTTTTAAACTATTATCATTTGCTTACAAAAATAAGTTTTATAATATACATTTTTTAAATTGTCAAAATTTTGAAAGTTAATTACAAATTATATATTTTATTAATATATTCTTATTTTTTATATCTTTTCCTAGTGCTTGATTTAATTAATTGTTTGTGAGATTTGTCAAAACAACTTGCATCAAAATGTAAAAAACACAATGACGATGACGTTATGTACTAAAGCTTCTATGAATTAAATGCACTTGAATAAATTATCAAGTCTGTATAATGTGCCTGGAAAATCGAGTTTATTTTATAGACTCTAAATACCACAGAAAATGGAGAAGACAAGCTTTGACTAAAACAACAAGATTTGTTTTTCTTGGTATACATTTATTAATTAGTTTTAATCAAAAAAAATTTGCTCAGATGTTTTTTTTTAACATTCTCTTTAATATGAAAACAACATGCCTCGGAACTTGGTGGTCCCTTTAAGATTGAACTCGGAACCTCTCGCTTATGAAGTAAGCGCTCTACCACTACTACATCAATAGCAATAAATGCAATAATGCATTTAATACCATAAACAACATTTTTTGATGTATGTTAAGTAGCCAACCCCATAATTTTTTTTTGACAACCGATTTTCATGAGGAGTGGCTAATGAGTGGCATATTTATATAAAAAGCGTTTTTCTTTTTTCTATTTTCTTGATAGAAGTATTCGCACCGATTGTTTGAAGTTATGCTTTTTATAATTTTTGACTAAATTTAGAGCAATTTCTAAGGATAGGCGCAAATAGATTCTGATGTCAAATACAGTTAATTTATTCAAAGATATTTACTTAATGCGTTTCTGTACCCAAAAAAAACACTCTACTTCTTTTTTTAAGAAATATGTTGTATCTATCTTTCACTGATAACGATAGATAAATTAACACTTTGGCTATTGTAAAGTGTTTTTTGTTGATCTTTGAGCTTTTTCTCAGTCATTCAACAAATTTTATAATTTTTACCTCATTTCAGTATCATATGTTGTTTTTTTTAATACTATTACTAGAGCCTTTAATCAAACAAACCCAAATTCAAAATGGTTTCTTTAAAAGATTGAGTTTAGGACTTTTGATCTTTTGTGTAAACAAAACTAGATCAAAACATATCAATGTGATTCAAAAATATATATACACATTTTCTGTGGTTTTTTTAGATGCTCCAAGAAGACCTAATGGTCACATCATAAAGCACTGCAGAAGAGCATTTAACTTGGAACAGAAAAGCACTAAAACTTCATCCCCCCCCCCCCTGTGCTATACGAGAGAGCAAAAAGTTGGTAAAATAATTTTTTTTCTATTCTTAACTAAGTTTATATTCGTTGATAAATTTTAAGTTTCATAGTATTATCTCTTAGCATTCATAAATTATGACCTATAAAGTTTAAACCCCCTCAATTTGAGGGGTTACACATTTTATATGGTCATAATTTTTGAACGCTTAGAGATTGTAAAACAAAACTTAAAATCTATCGATGTATATAAATTTAGTTAAGAATAGCAAAAAAAATTATTTTATCCATTTTCTGCTCTCACATTTGGGACAGGGGATAATATTTAAGAGCTTTTTTGTTCCCAGCCTCCAATCATTGCAACTTTTTTAAAAGCATCATTATTTGACATAAGTATAAACATACAAATGTTTGGATTTTGCTCCATGTTAGCTATCTAAAACACCAAAAAATGCTGGATAAGTTACTGCCACAGATCTTGTTTCTGAAACAAAGCTGCTTCAGAAATCAGCATTTAAATGCTGCCAATACACAATAAATATTTATATACATATAATTTTTCAGCTTAAGACAAATAGCTCAAGAAAACATGTAAAAAAATAATTTTTAAATGTACTTATAAGGTTCAGAGTTTGCAGTTAGGTATTGGATCAAAATTCAAATTATTAGAACCATTCAATTAAGAGAAAGCGAGAAAGCAGTAAAGTCTAAAGCTTCTTTAAGCTCATCAGACGCTCTACATTATCTTAAAAAAAAAAATTTACTGCAAGCATGGCAAAATTGAATTTTTTATTATGAAATATCTTTCTTAAAACAAGAAATACGTTTCTTGTTTTAAGAAATAAATATCCAACCCTGCAATTTATTATTAAAAACAAGAAATATATTTCTTGTTTTGTGAAATAAATTTCTTAAACTATGATCAATAGATTTACAATTTTGCTGTGAGTTTTGTTAAGTTGTTAGCAAATTTAAAAGATTTTAAAAGTTTTAGAATTCACTGTATTCAAAAGGTCTGAGGGAGTCTCATCCGTAGGCATTTTTTCAAACTATGACTTAGAATATCAAAAATTAACCAGTAGTCTAGTGAAATATACAACTCAAGACCTAGAGTCTGGTCTTACCAATAAAAACTGCTTTCAGAAAGATTTCAGCTTTGATTCTGCAGTTTTTACATCTTTTTGGACCTCCATTTGTTTTTGAATACTATTTTTACATTGTGACCTCAATCATTTTTACCATTTTTATATTGTGATCTTGGTCAAAAGATGCTAACACCAGCATTAAACACTTCTATAGTTTTACCATTATATGAATTTCACCTCAGCAGCAGGTTTATTATACATCTGCTAACAGTCTTGTTGATCTTAAAGGTTTTAACAACTAATGTATTGTAGATAAAATAAGATTTAAAATAACACTGCTAAAAACTTATTACATATAATTTTGAAGAGATAAAATCAAAGTGCTATTTCTATCGATTTCACTTTTATTATATTTCTACTAATTTTAAGAAAAGTATGTCTTGGAAAATAAATTGGTTTAGAGTTATTTTCTTTGAAAATTTTATTTCATTATAAACCTTTTTGCAAGCATTTTGTTTTTAAACAATTTGTTACTTTATGAGATGAATTATTCTTAAAAAATAAGATTAACTTATAAAATTGAGTTTTGCTTTAAAAATTTCAGAACTGCAAACTGGTGGTTTTTAAAAAACCACCAGTTAACTAAAATAATAGTAATATAAATGCGCACAACCGGTATATATAAAAAACCATTATTTGTAATGATGTTATTATATAGTAAATGATTTGTAAATTTCTACTCACGCCAATTGTTTGAAAATGCTCTTGAAAATTAAAAAAATGTAAAAATTATAAACTTAAGAAAAGTGGCGCAAATATAAATAGTCATATAAAACAAAAAATAATAAAACTTCGTTAAGAAAATAATATCTTGGGAGTATATTTTGTGACGCGTATTAGCATTTGTTGGACAAATGTAAAGCAAGATAATATTTATTTAACTAGTTTCTATTGATTCCATTACAATAACTAATAATATTTTATAAACAGTTTATATTTTTAATTTGAATTTTAATAAGAATATTAATAAATTTAAGTTTAAAAGTACATTTAACTTTAATTTTAATTAAAATTAAATTTTCAGTTTCAAAATACCATTATATTTTTATGTCTCTTGCTATGAAAACTTATATTAATTTTTTAAGTTTGTTTTAATTAGCTAAATATATTACATACCAGAAAACATATTTTAGTGATACACTGTAATAATTTGACAAAAACAAATATAAACCTGCAATTAGTAGACTTTTTCTTGGACAGTTCATCCATCTTGGCGGTGGAGCACCCATTTTTAAAGTCTGTATAAATATAATTTTAGAAATAATTTTAAAATGAAAATTTTTTACAATATCTTAAATCAACTAAAAAAAAAACATAAATATATACCTGTAAACGTGGAAAAGCATTAAAACCTACTAGTAACGTCACAAGCTTTCACTAAACATTGATTTTTTTTTTTATTTTAGTTTTATTTACCATTGTTTTACTGTAAGGTAAATATCAAAATAGATTTAGTGATTTATTTATATTATACTATCTATAATAATGAAATGTTCTTTTTTTGTTTTTGTTATTTAAGTTTGTTTGTTTTTTTTAGTTATTTTTTTTAAAGAGCAGAAGTATAAGTACAACAAATAGCTTACAACTAGTATTAGGAAAGACTTATTTTTTTAAAAAAACTTGATCATCGATTTAAAATTAAATTAAATGTGAAAACACTTATTTCCCTAAAACGTGCTATTTTGAAAGATTTGAAAAATTTAAATTAGAATGATAACTTTACTTAAATTTAGTACTAATAATGCAGTATTATTAGTAATAATAGATCAAATTAATTAAATTGCAACAAAATTGCCAATTTTGTCTAAACTTAATCATCTTGTAGGAAAAAGTACTAAAATTTTTCTTTATACATTTTCCACCTGACTAATAGCTAAAAATTCTTTTATCAAGAAACAACTCTTCGATATTCAGTAAAAAGCTAAATTATATGACTATTTTATGGTTAAATTTTTACCACAAAACTTTCAAACAAACAATTCATTTAATGATCTCTAGATACTTGATTTTTCTAATCATTTTAAAATTGAAAAATGGCATTTTATGTACAGTTGCATAAGTAGTAAGATGCTATTTATTTTCACAGAATGATTCATCCAATAATAAAGGTCAAACGCAATTAACAAGGTTGCCATGTAAAAGTGGACTATGTATTCAAACCTTTAATATAAATTTTCATGGTATACATTTTTCTACACACTCAGAAATCATTGACTGGAATTTCTAAGAAAACAAGTTAAAAAATATTTATTTTAATGAGCTCAAAATAAAAAATTATATTTTTAATTTAATTAATTATAGACAATAACTTTAATGTTTTGGTAAGGTATGCGTAAATCCGGCTTTGACAGAAACGCTTTTCGGCCAAATTTTATGCCACGCTTTTCCAAGTCTGTTTAATATTGAATTTTGAAATTTGAAATTTTGAAATTGGGAATACAAAAAAGCTAAATTTAGGGTAAATATAAAAAAAAATGATTAGAAAGAAGAATTTACATAAATATTAAGATTTATCTATTATTATGAGGAGGAGAAGAGGAGGGGTTATTTAGACTCTCAAGCTTTGAGTAAATGTCGTTTAAATTGGAAAAGAAAAAATTGAAAAAAAAAACACACAATATTTCTGTTTACTTTTCAAACTATTAATCAAAATTTAAATAAAATAAAATATTTAAATAAATTCAAAGAAAATTTCATTTTATTTGAACTTATCTTTTCAGATAAATATTATTTATAAATTAATTGGATTATACAAACCTTTTTTATTAATTAGCAACTTTTTTTTACTTATCTTAACTTTAATAAATACTAAAATTCAAATTACGTTTTAAAATTTGAAGCGTACGCTTTGTAATCCCACGCTATGCAACAATTTTTTCTTTGTGAAAAAATTGTTTCATCATATTAATTACCCTCTCAGCTTCGTTATTTACACAAACAATACTTTTTGCAAAGTTTAGAAATGGTCTGTATGACAATTGCCTATTTCATTACTGAGGTAGCAAGGTCATCCAGAGGTCATCCGGTCCTCGATTTATTGTTCTTCTACTCCAACCATATCAAACATTACCAAGAGAATTCATCAACCAAAAAAGCTAAGGCAACTGATTGCTTAGGAATATTTAACTTATTTTTTAATATTTATTATTAATAATTATTTATTTTTTATAGCTTTTTCTCTTTTAATTTTTTGTTAAAAAATTGAAAAGAAAAAAATTGCAGATTTTTTTTTTTTTTTTTTTTTGTCAAATACAACACGATAACCCAGCAAGGCTAAAGAAATTAGAGTTTAGTCTAGATATCATGTATGTTTAAATAAAGAACTTAACACAGCATCAACGGCAAATGTTTCTGCACGTACTGCTTTATACTAATGTAACTGATAAATAGCAGTTCATAAAAGGAGCTTTTGAAGGACATATAAGGAGCTTTGATTGTATCATTTAATTGCAGGTACTAAACTAAATATTTTCTGTAGTGTGTGTGTGTTTTTTTTTTTGTTTTTTTTTTAATTGAAGAAAATTTATTTGGTTTGAAAGTACTTGCATATTCAAATAATGCATAGACTTTCCTTAAAATGACGTAAACTTTTAAACGTTTTGGACGTTTTTTTTTATATGTAAGTGTATATATATGAATAAATAAAATATCTTTATATTATCATGTAATATGAAATAAACACATTTTTCAGTAGGAAGACAAAAGATTTCTACCCAAGGGCCATCACGAAGAAAATTACGGAAAAAGTTTCAGTCAGCTTTAAGGTTAGAAACAACACATAAGTCGAGCAGAAAAAGTAAATGATTCGGATTGTCTGGAAAGCGAGTTGGAAAGTTTACTGTTTGTGTTAGAGAATGAGCAAGGCAAAAGTAATAGGTTTTAACATCTGCAGAGTCACTAACACTATAACCAAGCCATTTAGTGGGATGAGCATTAAATTCACCAACAACCACGATATTGGCTGAAAGCTAGGGAGAAAGGGCTTAATTAATTTGATCAGAATATCGAAACCAGTGAATAAAACAAATAGAAAAGTGATAGAGTGAAGTGGTGTTAAACAAAAGCACATAAAAAGATGTTCTGTGGATTCAAACCTAGTTTCCCAACAAATGGCTGAATTCTTACGAATGTAGATGCCTAGCTAAAATCATGTGGCTATTGGAATCTTTACGACCTAAAGGAAGATAACCATCAACGAAAGAACACAAGATGAGACAGCTCTCAAGTTTTGAGTAAATGCTGTTTAAATTGGAAAAAAAAAGTTAAGCAGTATTCGGCTAACCAGGAAATAACTGTGTGTGTATATATATGTTTATATATATATATATATATATGTTTATATATATGTTTATATATATATATATATATATATATATATATATATATATATATATATATATATATATATATATATATATATATATATATATATATATATATATATATATATATATATGTATATATACAGTATCGGACAAAACAATTGCAACCAAATAATGCTAATTTAGTTTTTTTATAAAAAAGTGCTGCATTTTTTCAATTTAGAGAAATAGCTATGTAACTGTTTAGAGACAACATTCTTCAAGTTTTTTTTTATCACAAAGTTCATTATTTGTACACGAAAATTAATAAATTAATCAAAAGTATTGAAAAAAGTTGATTTCCTTCTGGACAAAACAAGTGCAACTCCACAAAATGTTGACCAAGCTGTATTTCGCTATCAACATTTTGTGGCGAATCCTTTGTTGTCAATCACAGCCTTGCATCTTCGAGGCATAGATTCGATTAGGTGATTAATGAAACTTTGTGGAGTCGCTGCCCAGGCATTTTTGGATTTGTTCCAACAGTTGATCCTTATTACGAACACCTTCACAATTAATTCTGCGGTTGACGATTTCCCACAGGTTCTCGATAGGGTTGAGATCCAGAGATTGAGGCGACCAATCCATCACCAATAGTTGGTTGTCTTGAAACCACTGCTTGACTACTTTTTTAATGTGTTTCGGATTGTTGTCTTGCTGAAAAACCTATTTTATTGGCATATTCCATTCAGCATGAGGTAACATCATCTTTCAGGATATTTTTATAAATGAAACGGTTTATTATTCTATTGATTCGATGTATTGGACCAAGACCGTTAGCAGAAAAACACCCTCAGACCATTACATTACCTCCACCATGCTTTACGGTCTTATGGCAGTAACATAAATCGAGACAATATCCGGCCGGTCGACGTACAAAGCAGATGCCATCGCTCTTAATGATGTTGAACTTTGATTCATCACAGAATAGGACAGTTCGCCATTTCTGAACATTCCAGTCAATATGAGATGTAGCAAACAGGAGTCTTTTCTTCTGGTTCTTTAGTGAAATCAGCGGTTTTTTTGCAGGGCGTCAAAAAACTATCCGGCTTCAATAGCACGTCGTCTGATTGTTCGGTCCAATACAGGCAGCTCTAATTGCTTTTGTATCTCGACTGATGATATCTAGGGATCCTTTTTGACGGATCTGACAATCATAGAATTTTCTCTAGAAGTAGTGGAACGCGGTCTTCCACCTTTGTTATCTGCTGCCGAAATCCCCGTAGAACGATATTTTGAACACAGTCTTGATACGGTCCAAAATTAAATTTATAAAAATTTATGAAAATTTAGAAACTTGATGCTATTGATAAGTTTGATGTAGTTGTAACTCTATTACGTGCTCTACACAAAAATATTACAATTGTGGCGGCACCACAAATGTAACAATTTTGAATCAGAAAATAATGAATGGTAATTTAAAAGGTATTGTTGATTGAAAAGAAAATTAGAGTTTTGGTTTGCCTACCTTGCATGGTTCGATTACGGATCCTCTTTTGAATCCTACTTTTGAATGCTTACTACGCACATTGGGGTATTTGATTGGTTTAGGCGGCCAAAACTAAACTTTTCAGAACCTCCAAAATAAATTTAAAAAGTTATTTTAGCAATGTTAAACAGTTAGTGAATATTAAAAACGTTAAGTAACCGCAAATGGTTTTAACAACAAGCGGTAGGATATATACAAAGTTGATTATTAATTATTGTCTCCGCGTTTTCTTTTGGTCGCTTATTTTTTAAGCATTTATTAGCATCAAATAAAGTTTTATTAAAATATATTTCAAAGTGTTTTGTGATGAATTCTAATGAAGTTGGTAAAGGTAAATACATTTGGAAAGTTTTAATCAGTTTATTTGTGATTATATATAAGTTTGTTGGTTTTGTAAAAACTCTTTTCTTTCTCTTGTTTTTTGCAATTTTCACTGCAAACTATAAGTTATTAGTAATACTTCCAAGCATTTCCAGGTTACTGTTTTTTTATTAACAGATAGGCTAAGGTTTTGACTTCAATGATATGTAAAAATCACCTGCCATTTTTTGCCATTTTGTTCTCCGTATTTGTTTATTCACTCTTCCTGTTCTTGAGTG